TTACTCATCGGAACTGGCTGGGATACAAACGTCGTGCGTGTAACTAAACTCTTCAGCCAATAAGGGCAAAGGTGTGTCGTCACGGAGGCGAACATAAATCCAACAAAAATCTGCTGCCAAGTCAATCAGTACTTGTACAAGGAAAACTCTCACTAAACAACTTTTCCCTTCTCAACTAAAGAGAAAACATATGTTCAGAGATTATAGCTCGAAGATTTTGACTGAATATCTTTCTTTTCCAATTTCACCCAAAGCAAAAGAAAATCACTTTAAAATTTTAAATGATATATATCCGTCCAAGGACTATCTCCACAAGACATTTATTGTAGATACGAATGCATGCACTTTCTGCAATACTGACGTTGAAACTACAGAGCATCTTTTCATGTGAATATTCCAAATCTTTTTGGGATTATTTTCAGTACTGGTTAACCTCTAAAAACATTGACTGCCCTTCTTTAACTTTTCAAGTAGTTAAATTTGGCCTACAAACAGTAAATAAAAAAATAGAATTTGGGATTAACAACTTATTCATAGTTGCAAAATTCAGTAGTTCTCCTGTGGATGACATCATTAGACAAATGTAACTTAATTGTGACTCACACCTTACTTGAATTTTTGATGCTGCTTTTCGATTGAGGTAACGAGATTGTATGTGCGTACTTATATCCTTATATGATAGGTCACTTTATTGTACTTGTATGCTGCCTTGTGGTGTTCCTGGCCTATACTATTCTTTTGATGCTTTTTTTTTTTGACAACTGCTTTGTTCTTGGCCATTTATTCTTGTGTACTGCGATTTGTTGTATTGTAAATGCACTATATTGTTATCTTGTTTGAGAAGTTAAACAATAAAAAAATAAATAAAAAAATCAGTACTTGTACTGATCGCTTGCTCCATTTTGATCGCGGTTCCCGAAGAGAACTCTATCGGCAATCTATGGCTCATCCTCCCAGCCCCGGATGTGGAGGTTGAATTTCGGATCGTATTACCACTGAAATTGTGGCAGCGTATTTGAAACAGCGAAAATAACGAGACTGAATATTGTAAAGCAGAAATAAGAGGACTGAATGTTACTGCTTGAATAATAAAGATGCGATTAAAACACATGGAATATTTTCAACTGAATTTGTTCTTTTGAAATTTATTTTGAGGCGAAATTAAATGAACGGAATTCATGTGGTTGAATTACAAACATGCACTTTAAAATACGTATCTTTTGGAACTGAATTTTGGAAGCCGAATATTTTTGTACTGAATATTTAAGCAATGAAATTACGATTGAACTGTTTTCAGTTGAAATGTTCAATGTTTAAATGTATGCACATATTAAATTACAGTCCCCAAAAATTCAAAGCGTCATTAATGCAATGCGTTTTTATTCGATAAGTGTAATTCAACGTGTTTTTTTTCATCAACGACTTTTGTCATTAATTTACTTCCATACTTATGAAGACATCACATCATAATCAACATACGAGATACACTAGATCAGGGTTCCCCAAAATAGTTTACAGATTTCACTGCTGATACAAATCTTAATTAGCTAATTATGCCTACTAAAATGTGAATCATAACATTCATCTTACACATCTAAATAAAAATTATGGAATAATGCAGCGAGAATAACTTTGGGGTCTAGGTGGAGACAAAATCTTTATTGTGTGAAGGTTTGGGGAGGATTCACAGTACAGCAGCAGCCCTAGATTAAGCCTTCAGAGCCACTCAGCACACATCACAACTCAGTTCATCAGAAATATGTGGCCCCTATAGACTATAGTAGAAAACATAAGATCACTGTGAACTATGAACTGAGTTCCAAGAAGTAGGTTCTTGTTAGGTAGGTTTTGGGTTACCTACCTTTTCAGCCCTCGGCTAGACTCACGACTCCCATTTTGACCTTGGGGTGGTTCTCCCTCAGTAGTTTTATTGCTATTAACCAGTTGCAGTTCCAGTTACAATAGAGCCCCACACCACCTCCACTTTGGGAACCCGAGGCAGGCAGTGTCTTTTTCAACTTGCAGTGACCAGTAAAATATGATTAAACACACCCTTAGTGTCATCCATTTTATCTCTCTTTCAGCCAGTACAGGGCCATGGGGGTGGGGAATACCCCAGAAAGAAGAGGTTGCAATGCAAGTAACACTCTTGCTTGTAGCAAATCAGTGTAATACTGTGGCATCACACCTCCAGGGTCAGGGGCTTGATTATAATTCCTGCATCCGTTTGTATGCGTGTTCTTACCATATTCTCCTACCTTAGTCCTCCTGGGGCAGGGGTGTCAAACTTCAATCCAGGAGGACCGAAGCCCTGCAGTTTTTGGTTTACCCTCATTTAACACACCTGATTCAACTCCTTGTGCTAATTACAGCACAGCTCTTGAACTGAATCATTTCTGGTGGAACAGGGAAAGAACTAACACAGGGCTCCAGCCCTCTAGGACTGGAGTTTGACAATTAATATTTGTGAGAAACAGCAGCTACATGAATTTGTTTCAAAATAAAGTTTGATTGTATATGAATGCACACATGAACTGTGAGGGAATGGAACACAGAGCACCCTGTGCTGCCTCCATGCTATGTCAACCTGCACGAGGTACAGAAAATTAACCAGTGTATCGGTTAAATCACTGCAAATGGAACAAAACCCTTAGAGCAGAAAAATCAAAGGATAAGCTGTTCCTTCCAGTCTCTCCTCAGGGAACAAATGCACATTATCTGTGAGCACAAAATTTCATGATTGTTGGGGTGTTGGCAGGTAACTGACCCATTTGCAAAAAAATTTAAGAAACACATGCACATGCAAGCAACTGATAATCCAGGCCTTCCTCAAAAGAGGGGGTGAGAAAATAGTCTCTCTGAATATGAATGATGACCATTTCTGCCATACAGTGTTTAATCCAAACACATTAGAGACAGTCTTGATAATCTGATAGGGGGGGTTCATTTCTCCATAACGATCTCTGCAAGGTTCATTTTAAAGTTTGAACAAGGACTTGCGAGTATCCACTTGTGGTACAAACACCCAACCATGAAGGCAGCCAATTCCAATGGGGGAAGTCCCTAAAATGAAGATCCCTGCAATGAAGATCATACTCAAAACGAAGACGGTGTCAACTTCAACAGCAGCATGCAAATTATTGTCTGGAAT